GTACAGCGACAGCCACTCGAGCACCATTTCTGCTCTCTCAATCAATCACTCCATCAATCAATCTCTGTGTGTGTGTCTCTGTGTGAAGCTATAATATAAATACCACAATTTCCACTATTAGACACTAGGACACGAAAGAGGCTAAGTAATTTACCCAGTGGCAAGAGCCAAAATCAGAACTCAGGAAATCTGACTGTAGAATCAGCGGGTTGGGGTCGATGTGAGTGTGAAAGTCTTGATAAGCAAGAAGAAGAAGAAGAACCCACGTTGCGCATCTCTTAGCCCCAGAAACTTCCTCATTGCTATAAGGAGCTGAGGCAAGGGGGCACTGGCTGGTTTTACTTCTCCTCTTCGGCCTGTGCTGCAGGGTTGCTTCGGCACTGCTTGAGCTCTGCTGCTCTTGAGGGTGTAAGAGCAGAGGATCAAAACAGTGTGTAACCCGGGGCAGCTTGCAGCCTGTTGCTTGTTGATCATCTGACTTCACTGGATATTTTTAAGGTCTCAGATTTTTTTTGGCATGTGAAATACAGATTCAGATTCCCAACGAGTAATGTTTTTGTGAATGTTTATTTTTATTTTTTTATTTTAAAATTAAAAGGAGGAAAATATTAACAGACAACATTTTACAAAATAGCAAAGGAACAGTTAAGACAGTACGGAGTTGCAAAGTGGTAGGGAATTAACAATGCTTGTTGTATTACATATTGATATCTTCAAAGTGGTTTCTCATGAAAACAGATATAGACATGCAATGCTTATCAACCAAGGACTCATTGACAGTTTTTTTCAGCAAAGAAATACAAGACAGTAGAACAGCCATGTTTTTGTGAATGTTAAGGACTGTATGAGTGTTTCCAGACTCTTATGACCTATGCTGCTATTACAGCTAATTCCCTCCTTTGATAATTAGGGATTCTCGGCTGTGTTCAAGACAAACTGACTTGGTAGGAATCTACAATCCCCCAGGACAGGGATACTGTGGGAAAACTGAAGCTCCTTAAGCCTGTCCCCCTGCCCCCCTGAAAACTTCTCTGCGGACAAGCTTTGCTGTCTTTCATGGAGCCTTAAGGGAAAGTCAGCTTCCATCTCTGTGAACTACAGGCAGACCTGGCCAGTCCATGAGGTAGGGTGAAGGTGACCCAAACTATAGGAGTTACACAGAGCTCCACTTTAGTTATGGGAAATTAGAAGAAGGATGACTGAAACCCCTGGGGGAGGGGTGAATAGGTGACCAGAAGGAGCCCCAGCAGTGGGTCCTGTGCCGTGCCGCTTCTCACGCACTCCAGAGCAGGGCCAGCCCTTCTCTGTCTCGTGGCTGCAAACACTGCGTTGCAGTTCAGCATACTCTGTTATACTTAGTGTGCCTCTGGCCATGCTTTTGCAGCTGGTGAGAAGAGTGTCAGACTTGGTGGACGAGATTGTCTTCAGCCAGTGCGTGGTCCACCTGCCCAACAGCTCTGCGGCAGCTGGAGGAGCTGCAAAGTGCAGTGCAGGAGCTCTTTGGCAAGTATGAGCAGGCGCTGTCCAGCGTGAGTGCTGGGGCCAGGAACTGGAGTTACCCAGGCATGGCCTGTGCTCTGTCCAGTGAGGGATGAGTCCTGATAGTACAGCACATGCTTTAAGAACTGCAGACTTATCTTAGCTATAAACCTTAGAATGAAGGGGAAACGAGGAACAGTTTTTGGGGTGTCTAATGGCAGTAATAGTATAGAGAGACTTGTGTGGGGTGCTTCCTACATTAACAGCTTAATTATTGGATATGAGCCCATTGAATATGCTCAGTTGCTTAGTGTTTCTTTCCTTAGAGAGCTGGGAGAGATGCGGCCAGACTGGCAGCTGGGAGTCTGTCCCTTCCTTCTCCCACTCATAAGCCAGTCCTGAGGGTGTCTATAATTAGGAAGGGAGAAAAAAGGCATAGGTGGTGTAAGCATAAAAAAACTTCTTCTACAGCGTAAAAAAGGAGATGAGGCCTTAAACTGTGAAATAGGGATAACACTAAAATCCGTATCAAGGCCTTAACAGAAACACTACGTTAATAGAAGCAAATCAAAAAATATGAGAGTGTTTTGCAAGCTGTATGTCCCTGGGGGGATGTAAACGGATAGGAAAACGTGTAGAAGTTGACATTTGAAGGAACAGCTTACCCACCCCCCATGCTTGGGCCAGTGAGTGCATACGTGCCGCCGAAGATGAAGACAGCCAGGCCCTGGAGATGAACGGCACGCAGGGGCCCAAGAATCCCAGTGTGGTTGTTCCCTCCCATGAAAACCCAGCCTTTAATCTGCTGCGCCTGGAGCTCGAAAGAATGCAGGAGTTGGGGAGGCAGCTTATGCCCAACGGCAGAGTTCGTGGGACCACAGGCCTCCTCCACCAACTCCAGGACCTGGCACGTGGACAGATGAAAGACCCCTCCCTTCCTTTCATGGCCGCCTTTCTGATCTAACCTCATATATATGACAGTTTCTGACATCACTTCCTTCATGGGAAGAAGACTCTGAACTGAGAAATATGAGAGCCTGCGTTCAGTTCTTGAGAACACTCTGTGATCTGCATCCTTTGCATCTTACTTCCTTAGGTGATGAATGCCTGCCTCACCCTTGGCTTCTGGCTGACTGTGACTGCGACCAGCGCAGCTTTGGTGCTGTCTGACACGAGGTAGACAGTCTTGAGGGGTGATCTCCACCAGCTGCAGCTCTGTGCCTTCTACAGGACACTGATACTTCAAGGGCAGATGGAGGCAGGAGATTCTAGGCACAGGCAGTTCTCATAACCAAGGAAACAATTGCCACTATTTATTGATTGCTCATGTAGATACACTGCATTTTTGCATAATCTTGGCCAGTCTTGACAAAGAAGTATTTTATTATTCCCTTTTCAGATTTTACTTATAAACTTTGTGACTTTAAGCAAATTACTTAATCTTTCTGATTAAAGTTAGGGTAGCCCCCTGATCTGTAAAGATAAAACTTCACAGTGTTTTTTTTTTTTTTTTTTTTTTTTTTTTTTTTTGAGACAGTGTCTTGGTACGTAGTCCGGGCTGGTTTTCAACTTGCGGCAGTCCTCCTACCTGTCAGCCTCTCAAGTGCTGGGATGACAGGTGTGTGCCACTGTGCCTGGCTTTTATAGTGGTTTTTTTTTTTTTTATCATAGTTAAATGATATAATGCATGTATAGTACCTAACATATAGCTATTGGTATTTATTTTTATAACTGCACTGTTATTCTTAAAACAATTACTTATTTTGTCATACTATGTAGTAAAAGATGGATTAAAAATCAATTCTATTTGACTTAAATGTCCTTGCTGGTCAGTGGAGTGTGAGAAGGAAGTTTCCTCTCAGCGCTACACTCTTGTGGGGACCCTAAAGAGAAATGAAGCAGTCCTTCCCTGGGCATCAGTCTCACTTTTGAAAACATTTGAAAAGAAGTGCTTAACCTGGAGTCCTCCTCTAGGAATTCAGCAACTTGTAACTGGTAACTGAATTGGTGGGCATAAGAATTTGAAGATGAATTTCATATGGATTGGGCTGGAGGTTCCACATTCTCAATAGAGAATCCTCAGTGTGGCTGTAGGAAGCCTCCTGCTTGCCTGCCTGCAGCTTCTTTGCTAGTCTTTAGCACATCGAGAACATCTGGACTTAGACTTTTTTTGTGTCCCTTAACTGACTGTGTAGTGGTCCTCCCAGGCCATGTTTTCTCAACATGCCCAACATCCATTTGCAGGACCTACACATAGCACCACACAGAAAGGCTAGGCAGGAGTATGAAATGTGCAGATCCTGAAGGCTTCCCAATCACACAAAGTATGCGAACACTTTCACAATATACATCCAGTAAGACGTGTGCATTCTCACTCCTGTATATATAGTAGTTCTGTCTTCACCCAAATATCAACATAGGCATTTTAACATACGCATTGATAGTTAATTCATCTCCCCAAATAAAAAAGTCAGACACCATCTTCAAATTTGTATGGTAGCGTATATCTGGTTTTTCAGTTGTCTGAAGCTGTCCCTTAAGGAATGGCACAAGGAACCTCTTCCACTCCCACTTCTTGATTTATAGATGTCTCTCCCTCTCTTCAGTTTTTGATGCAAAGGTGGCCACTTACGGCTAAGTGAGGACACTGAATGAAATCATTCTAAAAGGTCTGTTAGAATGGCATGTAGAAAGAATGAAACAGTGTGTGAACTGTGTGAATAAAAAGCATATTGCAAATAGTAGCCCACCCCCCTTTAGTCAGGAGTTGGAATGGCTCCTGTGGGGATCCTTCCTGGGTAACCCCACCGCTGCTTCTGAGAGAACAGGATATTTTGCTTATCACATGGGAGTGCTCTCGGGGCTGGGGATTTAGCTCAGCGGCAAAGCGCCTGCCTGGCAAGCACAAGGTCGTGAGTTCAGTTCCCGGTACCGGAGAAACCCCCCCCCCCAAAATAAATAAATAAAAAAACATGGGAGTGCTCTCAATTAAGTGTAGAATCCAAAAATCTCAACCCTAGAGAAAAGTACATGACCTCCCCTTCCTTGTTCTTGTTACCTTTCCTTTTCTAAGGCCCACTTCCCCAGATCACTATTAAAATTAATAAGCTCTTTCCCAAGGGTTAGGCCAGTGATGGTGAATCTTTTAGAGCATTCAGTGATACAGACAGTCCACTGCAGCATGCTTGCCTTAAGTCTGCCACTGCTGGCTTAGGCTGTATGCATAATCTCAAGAATGGGGTTTTATTAACAGGTTCAGTAGATTGAAGATTTTGTCAACATGCCCAACATCCATTTACAGGACCTACACGTAGCACCACTCAGAAACACTCATCCTACATTTAAAAAAAATCTGACTTTTATCTAGGGAATTTGGTCTCCATTTTTCTGGAAAATTTTTTAATTTTATAATAGAAACTTGGGCCCCTCCAAATTTGTCTTCCTTCCCCACCTAGTCCTGACATATTGTGATTTAAGTTGACATCACAATATCCCTTTTCTGAATAGGTCATGCCCTGTGCAGGTGTGACAGGAGGAGGGGCAACGGTGAGAGGGCATTGTCACTACTTAGTCTACCCTGTACCAAGTATGAATCAGTAGCCATAGCAGGCCTCAATTGGGCCACATCTGGAGAACTGGGGTGAGGGGTACAACATCACAAAATAAAGACCCCAGCTCTTTTCGGGCTGGAGAACGCAACACCTGCAACGAAGCCCAGAAGAAATATTTGTCTGCCCTCACCCAGCTGCCCCTGATTGTACTTGCTCTCCTCTGCCCACCTGCTACAGTCCATGCCTCATGTCACCTCTGGAGCACCCAGGACGCCCCAGAACAGGCGTCCGTATTTTCCTGCAAACGGGAATATCTCTTCAAGTTTCATCCGAGTGATAGTGAAGACACCAACCAAACAGAAAGACTTTACTGTAGCTGGTGACATCTCCGTGAGGCAGTTCAAGGAGAAGCTTTCGGCTCACTTCAAATGCCAAGTGGACCAACTAGTGCTGGTCTTCATGGGCCGCCTTCTCAAAGACCAGGACACACTGAGTCAGAGGGGCATTACGCATGGCCACACCATCTATCTGGTCATTAAGTCCAAGAATGGCTCCAGATCCCTGGCCCATACCTCCCAGAACCTGCCAACCAAGGACCGCTGCCACCAGGACAGAAACACCGAAGGAAACAGCAGTGGAGTGTGCCGACCTGCCAGCGTGAGTCAGACCCCCGTGAAATCTGCTCTCTTTGTTGAGTCTGACGCACCCCAGGTGCAGAACCAGAATCTGGGAGTGGACAGTTCACAGCACGCAGCACAGATGCTGGGGAATCTTCGCACCCAGCAGCTTCTGTCCAATGTGGAGTTCATACAACAATTCATCTCAAAGCATCTGGATAAACAAGAGTTAATACAGCAGAACCCAGAGGTTGCCCACCTCCTTGACAATTCTGAGAGCCTGTGGCAGACTCTGGAGCTGATCAGGAACCTTGCCATAATTCAGGAGATAGTGCAGACCCAGAAACCTGCCCAGAACTTGGAGCATTTGCTGAACCTATGGCCTTACCTGGACTTAAGAGGCAATTCCAGGTGGGAACAGTGACCTGGAGCAGAGCTATGCCGATTTCAGTGACCAGATGTTTTACAGCATGCAAGATCCTTTGGGGGGCAACCCCTTTACTGTTCTTCTGGCAGGACAAGTAACAAGACAAGTCCAACCCTCACCCCCACCTCCACCATCATTCCAGGAGCAGCAAGACCAGCACCCACATCTCAAAGCAACCCGAGTCATCTGTACTAATTCTTGTGGTTTATCCTCAGTCACCTCAACCAGTGCGACCCCCAACAGGCTGAACCATACTTTTAGAGCCAACACTGCCACAATCTCCACCAAGGGCCAAAGCTGTGTCTGTGCCACTGAGCAGCCAGCTGGGATACCAGCCTTACCTAGCATAGAAGTCATGCAGCAGCTCCAGGAAGAAAACGAAGAAAGCAGCATCTCCGTGTGTAGTTCAGACCAGAGGTCAGAGGATGATCCCCAGCTGTCAGATAGGCAGGCCAGCTCCCAGATCACAGGAGGCATGGCACAGTTGCTTATGAACCACCCTCACCTGGCAGCTCAAATAACGTTGTTCATGACCCAGCTGAGTGAACAGCTTAGGCAGCAGCTGCCCACGTTCCCGCAACAGTCAATACTTTCTATCTGCTTTTAGCCCTGGACAATCCTAAAGCATCACAAGCAATATTACAGATCAAGCAGGGCCTCCAGCTGTTGGCCCCAGAGGCGCCTGTTCTTCTGTCCTGTTTTGCACCTTACCTACCAGACTTACATTGGCTGCCTGGCCTCAGCTGCAGCTACCCTGATACAGTGCCCAGGACCTGGAATACCCAGATGTGGCTGAGCCCAAGAAGGCTGAGTGTTGCTACAAATCTGGAGCAGTTTTGCACAGGCTGCATCCCCAAGCTGGAAACCCTTCCCAACCTCCACAGGCTCCTGAGATTCGTTTCACAAAGCAGATGAAATTTCTCCAGACTCTGGGGTTTGGGAATTACCATGCCAATCTCCAGGCACTCATTGCTACTGAAGGCAACACAAATGCTGCTATTTGCAAGCTGAAGAAATCCCAGGGATTCTAACCTCCACATCTACTTGTCTGCTTTCCACCTGCCTAGTGTCATAACTGACCACCCCATCTGCATTTTCCTTCTCTCCTGATGCTTCCAACTAGGAGAAGTCCTGAAACAGAGAAACCAACCGATGCTGTCTCCACTGCGTAGTAGACAATTGGTCATGGCTGGAACATCTATCAATAAAATGGCTACACCTACTTGCCCTCATCTGAGGTTTGACTTTGTTTCTTTTCCAGAAGACTAAATGGGTTTGATATTTTTGTCTTATCTTTGTACATACATGAAAATACACACACACACCACATGTGAATATTGATATAGAAATAAATAGAATTACTATTGCACATATGCTTAAAAATCCAGGAGTATGCATGCATAGCCTGAGACTTGGGAACACACACAAATACCTGTGATTACATGTAGGAGAAGACAATCATAAAATAAGCACACAGAAAGAGAGGCATTAGAGTCAGACACTAGTCATAAAGACTGACATTTAGTCTCATATTTCTCAACCTCACATTGTTTAAGTTCGAAAGTGACAAAAGAACGGACTGATTGTCCTGATGGATCAGAGTGAGTAGAGCTCACGTAGTGAGCTGATTTTGAGAACTACTTAGAGTCAGGGCCTCTTATTCATTGCCATTCCCACAACTATAGGACTCGGAGGGGTCACTACCACTCTTTCTGCAGGACACAGAGATGCAGCGGCCGCCCCGTTCACTGCGCGTTCTATTTGTCAGAAAGCCTTCTGCAGCACACAGGGCTCCTTCCACAGGAGTTTCAGCCTTGGCCACATCTCATCGCTATAGCTTGTGCTTCCCACAAGCACCCTGCCCACTTTCTCTTCCTGCCTCACCCAGAGTATCCTAGCCCAACAGGCTGCACAGTGTGGCTCCCTATCCAAAGATTAATATTTTAATTTGCTTTTGCTGTGGCTTATTTATTGATTCATTGGTTGATTGATTGTCTTTTTTGAGACAAGTTCTCACTATGCAGTTCAGGATGGCCTTGAGCTCACTTTGTAGCCCAGGCTGGTCTCGAACTCGCAACGATCCTCCTGCCTCAGCCTCCCAACTACTGGGATTACAGGTGTGTCCCACCATGCCTGGCTTCACTGTGATTTAATGTCTACATAGTTTTAGGTACTGAAGCAATAATGACAAAATAAAGATCCCTTACTTATGAAATCTTTATTTGTAGAGATACAGCATTCACATTAATTTATAGATTTATTAGGTGTTTCCAGTTGGTATGAAGAGCAAGAGACTGGGATAAACCACTCTAGAGCAATCAGGGAAGGCCTCTGCAAAGATGAAATCCTAAGGAAATGGGCTGAACATGTAATCCCCAGGGAGGAGGATTCAAGCAGAGAAGGCTGCATGGGAGTAAAGTCAGCAAATTAGGGGCTATTCCTGCAATGTTTGAAATAACAAAGAGGATACAGTGAATGAAGAACAATTAAAAGTAGTAGGGATAGACATCAGAGATATTGTGAAGAGCTTTGTAGGACTGGTGAGAACACTGCCTTTTACTATGAATATAATAGTCTCTGGTTGGCACACTGATTGTAAACATTCAAATAATCGCAAGATCCCCCAGAACTAAAAATGAAATCCAAGGGCTGATGCTTTTCTCTCTGTGCTTCCTCTGTCTGCACTCTGTGTGATGGAGCTAGATGTTTCTGCTTTTGCATTTTTATGCTCATAGAAATCAACGCTTTTTCTTTGATACACTTTCTTTACTACCTTTCAAATACCTTTTTAGTTGGATTAATTTTTAATGTAAATCTGAGCATAACTTTTATATAATTGCTTATTATTATATAATGTTATATATTATACTACTAATAATTATATCATGAGGTTTTTTTTTTTTACCTGAAAAGGAAAATGAGATGATGAAATCATTAAAGTTGTACTTTATTGATAGGAAAGCACTCAAGGGTAAAGGGCAATTGGGATGTGGGAAGAGACAAGGGAAAGAAGGAGAAATTTTGTATGTATGTATATACAGGGTAGTTAACATAGTTGTTTTACTGTCTTCTATTTCTTTGCTGAAAGAAACTGTTAATGAGTCCTTGATTGATCAATATTGCCTGTCTCTGTTTTCATGAGAAACCACTTTGAAGATATCAATATGTAATATAACAAGCATTGTTAATTTCCTACCACTTTGTTTGTAACTCTGTATTGTCTGTACTGTTCTTTTGCTATTTTGTAAAAGGTTGTCTGTCTGTTCATGTTTTCCTCCTTTTATTTTTAAAATTAAAAAAACATACTGTAAAATTGTACTTTAAAAATTCTAAGTCTTATAAACAACACCAGGCTAGGAAGATAGCTCAGTGGTAGAGCACTTGCCTAGCATGTGTGCGAGGCTGTGGGTTCAATCTCCACACACACAAATTCTGGAACAAAAAGTCACTGGTGGGTTTTGAGCCAAGGAAAGGAATACTGCAATTTAGTTTATGAGTCTGGCTTCTGACTGGGGACAGACTGTGCTAGAGGAAAGTAAAGGCAGCAGGAAACCACGTGGGAGGTTTACGCAAGGATCGGATGAGAGATGACAGTGTCTGGGACTAGGATGGGGTGGGGTTAGTGGAGCTGGTGAGAAATAGATTCTGGATTCTAAGGGGGACCCATAAAGATTTGTGCAATCCTCACAGACAACTCCTCCCCAGCCCTGATGTTACCATCAGCAAGAATGTCCGGCAGTCCTACGCAGTTCCCAGTGCCCCCAGCAAGCCCACTGAAGATCCTCTTCACAACCACCACCCACCACAAAGATGTCTCAAGAAAGAAATTATGGATCACGTGCATTATTGTTTCTGCAGTAAGAGATCTCTTTTAATTTGATTAACTTTCACACCTTTTTTGCCTCCCTTTATATAGAAAAATCCAAACTCCCTGTGTCATCCTTTTTATTTTCACCCCAGGATGCTCTGAAAATGCATTGTCGGACTCAATTTTCCATCGTTACCAGTTCTCCAAACCTTCCCACCCCTACTGTCTGGAACTGGTGCACAACCCTCACGTGCACAGCCCTTTTTCCTGAAAGTTCCCTACCCTTTGGCATGTCTGTCCACTGGGGACACTGCTGCTCTAGCATTGTGGCTGCCTCTTTTATTCTCAGTGAGCTCAGAAGTGTGAGGTGTCATTCTCGTACCTTCCTGTTGTTTCTTGACTCTATGTCTGCATTTTCTTTTTTCTTTTTTTTTTTTTTTTTTGGTTTTTTTTCCGGTACCGAGAATTGAACTCATGACCTTGCGCTTGCCAGGCAGGTGCTGTGCCTCTGAGCTAAATCCCCAGCCGCTGCATTTTCAAGACTATCTCTGATCCATTAATATAATCATCCTGGCACAAGTATCACCTAGTAAACTCACCAAGGTTATAGCCAACTCTGCCTGGTCTCTGGAGGCAGAAAAAAGTGCACAACTGTGCTGACTAGTTTTATTTAAATTTATCACCAAGGGCTTTAACTGGACTCTCAGTAATCCTATTTACATATTTCGTCAATGATTCTTATTAATTGTGTATGAGAAGTAGCAGAATTATATACCAAAACAGCTTTCTGAGCTACGTTCCAAGGATATCTGACTCAGTAGATCTAGAGTGGTGTCCATATTTCTTATTTCTCACAAGTGTCCAGGTGATGTGGGGGATGCTGGCCTGGAAACCACCCTGGGAGGTCTACTGGCTGGTCAGTTCATTATCTTATTCCTTGAGATGACTATTGCAATTTCTTTCTTTCTTTCTTTCTTTCTTTCTTTCTTTCTTTCTTTCTTTCTTTCTTTCTTTCTTTTTCTTTCTTTCTTTCTCTCTCTCTTTCTTTTCCTTCCTTCCTTCCTTCCTTTCTTCCTTCCTTCCTTCCTTCCTTCCTTCCTTCCTTCCTTCCTTCCTTCCTTCCTTCCCTTCCCTCCCTCCCTCCTTCCTTTCTCTCAAATCTTCAATACCCATTTTTCTATCCTGAATATCAGCTGATATTTTGCCTATTTTAATAAGACAAAAAGGACCAAAAGGGACCTCCACCAGCATCCACTGACAAAGAACCAGTGTGTGTCTGTGCCTTATACACTCAGCTCTTCTTCCTAACAGTAGATTTTTCCATGTTCGTAAATCAAGCTCTTCATGTGGCACTCACCCCCGCTGTTCCTATCTGCGTAAAGAAGGAGTTACTCTTGTGATAGTTTTCCTTTTCTCTGGCACCATTTTTTGCTCCCTCAGTGGACTATTTCCATCAAAGAACAGAACAACATTATGTATTTTTCTTATCTTAAGAAAAAAACCAAAAAGCACTAAAAGGGTTTGAAACCCCACATTCCTTCAGAGCCACTGTTCCCTTTCTGTCACTCACACTGCTCCCATCAGACCAACTTGCTTTCCAACTCACCTGTAAACACACTGCAACCAGTGTGTTTACATCACTGCCTTCGCTCCCATCACTCTTTCAAAGCCGGTCTCATCACGGTCTTCACTTCTCTCTTTTTTATCAACTCCAGCAATCATTTTTTTTGTCGTCATCCTATTGATTTACCACCATCATTTTCTGTCATCCTTTTTGAAATTCCTTTTCTTTCTCTTTTTCTGCCTTTTTCTTCTTATTTTTTCTGAATTCTTGTGATAGTCCATACTTCTAATTGCTTTAGCATCATTTTTTAAAATCTCTATCATTTCTCTATATTCACTAATTACCTAATCATAACCAGTCACTGATTTTTAAGTGCTTTCCCAATGCTCATTAGTTCTGGACATAATATTCAGTTACCCTCCTATGTCTCTATCTGGATGTAAAATAGACTCTCAAATGTAAACAAAACTGTTTAACAACATAGTAATTTTCTGCTTAACCATTTGCTTATTCTCTGGTATATTTTATTTCATTTCAGTAAATTTGCAGTTCATTGACTTGAGTTTTTCTGGGAGATAATATTTTTAAAAAAGCAAAATACTTCAAGTCATCCTTGACTCCTCTCTCATATGCTAAATTCTATCTATGAGAAAATCAATTCTTTGAAAATGAATTCATGGTTAGTTAAATCAGACAGAAAAAAACATAGGATGTCTGCAAGAAAACAGAGAGAAGCTGAATTCAGGTCTTAATGACAACACTAAGGACGGAGGAACGTTTTACAATGGAGTCTCTCTCTGGGGTCTCCAAGTACCACAGATGAGGTTCTATGGAAGCAGAACTATTGGCCTGAGAGAATGTGGTCAGCTCAGGACCCTCATAACTAAGAAATTGAGGTAAAGGAAGTAAAAGAGGTAGGGCAGGATGGTAAGGAGTTCCCAGGAATCTAGACCACCTTGGAGGAGTCTCCAGAATCCCTTGTGTGAAGCTGTGATGTCAGTCCTGAGGTCACAAAGGTGACCAGGCAGAGTGAGTTCCAGTCCAGAAAGCCTCGGGTGCCAGCGCAGCAAGATGAGGGTGGTTTGGAGCCCTGCATAAGAGGAAGGAGGGGCCACAGCTGATTGGTATGTGTTCTCCAGAGCGGGCCTTTCTTCCTACCTTTGCCCTCAGTCATCAACTGATAATGTCTTTCCCAGGGCCTCGGGTTTTCCTTCCCTGACCCCAACATCTCTTAATCTCATAAACCCATAGTCCTCCCAAAGCATCCTGTTCCATTCCTCCTGCGTAGGCCCTACAGCTTCCCTTACCCTGAGTCCTCTTCATGCTCATCTTTCTCACTTTCGCCACTGCCCTAAGGCTAACCTTGATCTCCTACCCCCACCCCCAGCTGTGTCCCCACAGACCTGAGCCTTCTGTTGACCACCATGGCCAAAAGTGGAGAGGCTCTGCCCCAGGGCTTCCCAGCGCCAGTCCAAGATCCTCACCTCATCAAGGTGACGGTGAAGACGCCCAAGGACAAGGAAGATTTCTCAGTTACAGACACATGCACCATTCAGCAGCTGAAGGAAGAGATATCTCAGCGCTTCAAGGCCCACCCTGATCAGCTAGTCCTAATCTTTGCTGGCAAAATCCTCAAGGACCCCGACTCGCTGGCACAGTGTGGAGTTCGAGATGGCCTCACTGTTCACCTGGTCATCAAGATGCAGCGCCGCTCCGTAGGCACCGAGTGCCCGGCTGCTTCAGTCCCTCCCCCAGGTCCAAGTCCTGGGTCACTCCCCCAGCCAGGCTCCATTTACACGGCAGATGGGCCACCCACCTTCAGTTTAGGTGTCCTCAGTGGGTTGGGCCTGGCGCCTGGTAGCTTCCCTGACCAGCCAAATTCACTGATATGGCAGCCCGTATCACTGCCTGAGTTTTTGGCTCAGCTTGTCGATGACCCCTTCATCCAGGGTCTGCTGTCCAACACAGGCCTGGTGCGCCAGCTGGTTCTCGACAATCCTCACATGCAGCAGCTGATCCAGCACAACCCTGAGATTGGACATATTCTAAACAACCCTGAAATCATGCGACAGACCCTGGAGTTCCTCCGTAACCCTGCCATGATGCAAGAGATGATGCGGAGCCAGGACAGGGCTCTCAGTAACCTGGAGAGCATCCCTGGTGGCTACAATGTGCTTCGCACCATGTACACAGATATTATGGACCCAATGCTTAATGCAGTACAAGAGCAGTTTGGCGGCAATCCTTTTGCCACTACTACTACTACTAATGGCAGCTGCAGCAGCAGCCAACCCTCAAGGACAGAGAATTGTGACCCTCTCCCCAACCCCTGGACTTCCACATATGCAGGCTCAGGTGGCAGGCAAGGAAGAAGGCCAGGAAGCCGGGATACATCTGAAATTAGAAATAGAGTTCCAAACTTCCTGGGTAACGTGGGACTCTATCAGTATCTCCAGCGATTACATGAGACACCCCAGGCTCTAGGGACCTATCTTCAGAGGACTGCATCTCTGCACAGCCCAAACCAGGAACCGCCATCATCAGGAAACAGAGTTCCCCCAACTTCATCCTCATCCCAGGAGCCTAGGTCAGGCCAGCCTCCCCCTAAGGAGTCAGTAGCAGTCAAGGAAAATTCCTCTTGCCCAGCTTTCCTGAGGTATTCCTCAGGGAGCAGTGCTGGGCAAGATGGAGGCCAGAATGTTACAGGGAAGAGCTCTACTGGCCATAGCTCTAGCATGCCTGATCTTGTGTCAGGGCTAGGCAGTTCTGCCAATGGGGCTCCATTCTTTTCTTCCCTGTCTTCCCCTATGACTGCTACTCCTGGCGCCCCTCATCCTCCTTGGCTACCACCGCCAGATCATCCAAGATCTCTGAGACCAGCTGGTATGAATCAGGCCCCACAGGTGCAGGATGAGATGCACCAACAGCTCCCGCTACTGGTGAACCTCCAGGAAGCCACGGGAAACCCCCGTGCCATGCAAGCCCTGCTGCAGATTGAACAGGGCCTGCAGATCCTGGCTACTGAAGCGCCTCACCTCCTACTTTGGCTCATGCCTTGCCTAGCAGGCATGAGTGGTGCAGAGGGAGGTACACAGTCTAGAGAAGGTACCTTTATGTCTGAGCAGCCCCAGCCAACTCCAGCTCTTCAGGTTTCCCCTGTACAGGGCTCTTCAGAGCAAAGTTTCCATTCTACTCCATTCCTCCCGATGCTGCAGGCCATGGCTGGCATCAATCCCCAGCAGCTCCACCCCGAGGCTCACTTCCGGGTCCAACTGGAGCAACTGAGGGCCATGGGCTTTCTGAATCCTGAAGCCAATCTTCAAGCCCTAATTGCCACAGGGGGTGATGTAGATGCTGCTGTGGAGAAGCTGAGGCAGTCATAATAGCCCTCATTTACAGACCTTACCTTTTCCTCTGTGCCTTTTCCCTATATCCTATTATCCTAGCTCTCCTATTGTTGAATACAGTGGCACTATAAACCAGATTTACTATGATGCCCTTTACAATGGAGACAATGTTGCTCTAGAGTCAATGAGCAAGAAGAGCCAAAATTGTGTGTGGGGGGGTTTGCTGTATATGACTCAATCACTCCCCCCGTTGTACTACCATGGGGCCCCAGTCTGAGCTCTCTGTATGCCAACCTTGAGATGAAATTACATCCAATGTCCAGTGTCAGCGGCTGCCTGAGTCTGGTTCTTGTGGGTTATGAGAGAAGGGGAGGATGTGAGAGGAGGATGGGTGATCAGGGCTGTTTCTGAGCAGCGGGAGGGTCTAGAGGGGAGACTAAAAGTTTGAAGCTAGCAGTCGGTCAGCAGCATGGGGCAGAGGTGGGAAAGTCATTGCAACCCTTTGAAGACTGAAGCCCACAGCTTTGCTGGTGACTTTCTGTAAGTTTTATGTCCCAAGTAGCTGCCACCATTGTAGGCTGTTCTATCAGAATCCTTTCCACCAGCCTGTCTAAAAAATCATCATGGTTTCTTACATTTATTGCCCCTGAAGTTTGTCTACAGATGGCTGTCATCTTCAGGATTTAATGCCAATCTTTGAATAGACAGAGATAGAAGAGTTGAGAGTCAGAACAAACCTTGATTCCAGAATTTCACCTAGTTTTTAATATCCCTTGTAGCCAGATTCAGAGTTGATTTCTTTGCAATGCCTAGCTCAAAAATTAAATACTTACCCTCTGCTCAGCATCTGTGAGCTATTAGAAATTCATTGTCATTAAAATAGACACACTACTACTTTCATGAGTTCATGGCGTGGTAACAGGAACTGTTCAAGGTGAATATCACTATGCATATTTACAAACATAATAAATGGTACAAAGAAAAAATGAGAAGCTACAAAATAGCATAAATGGGTTTGTTGTTACTCTAGTCTGATAGGAAAAACTGTGTGTACTCAGGGCTAACACTGAAAAAGTGGTAGAAATTAATTAGGTAAAACAGCCCAATGCGGTGGTGCACACCTGGAATTCCAGCACTTGGGAGGTTGAGGCAGGAGGACTGCCAAGAGTTTGAGGCCAGCCTGGGCTACATAATGAGTTCAAGGGCAGCCGAACTACGGAGTGAGACCCTGTCTCAAAAAAAGCCAAACCAAACCAAACCAAAACAAAACAAAACAAAAAGCTAGTTGGTAAAACTTTAAAGGAAAGGGATAAGTGTTCCTGCAGAAAAGCTATTATGTAGGAATGCACTGAGGTAGGAAGTACAGAAACCACAGCAGGTGCCCCTAGTATCTCAGATTGCGTTTGTGTTAGCCTTCAGATATGTTTTCTGTTATTCCTCTGTTTCTAGGGTAAAAGTGTTATAATTCACAAGCCCATCAAATGTAACATGTTCCCCAGTACTCATACACGTACTTATGAAGATATATATGTATATATATCTCCATTGTATATCTCCATTATATATATATGTATGTATGTATATAATATGTATATTTTCTTACCAGGATATGTTCTACATATAGACCTGTGAACATATCCTGGTGGGAAATGCGCAAACATATGAGATACATCTACTTAAATATACTTTCACATGCATAACCTATGCACATGTATATACATATATATACAATACAAATGTTCAGAGTTTTTATAGAGTGTGAGTGTGAAGATAAAGCTTCTTTCTGTGCTGAAGACATGGCCCCAGATGGAATACACTCCTCTGGTAACAGTGGCTGTAGTGTGTGTCTGAGTCTCAGTGTATGGATAAGATCTGAGAAACAACCTCCACCGGGAGCCAGAGACACTCACAGTAGCCTGTTTATCTGTGAGCTACTGGCGTGTGGCTTAAAGGAGATGAGACCAACTTTTGGGAATAATTTAATTCCAGTCATTTTGGTTTAAGAGGTACACAAGGCTTTCCAGTTCCCTCATTTTCCCATTCTATTCCTCTTCAGAGGAAGGATGTTTGTCCAAATCAAAAGAACTGTTTTGTGGTAATAGGGGAAAAGAAGAAGAACCACTAACTTTTCCATATCCTGCAACTCATAGAGCAGGTCCTCCATACTGCTTGTACCTGGGGAAATGGACAGTACAACCCACAATTTCCATCTTTAGAAGGCCAGGTAGATCTGAGAAAAACTCCATGGAAAGAAATTTCACTGCTTTTACCTGATTTCCATGTAGGCCAAAGGGAGCCTGAACGATCATATGATGCTAAACACAGATCACCGTGGCAAACAGTGGAAGGGCTTAAGTGTCTTGGGAAAGAAAGAGAATATTAGTGTAATGGATTATTTTGTTGATATGTCCTCTTTCAAAAATATTTTTATAATCATTTATACATATTTGTATATTTTCATACATGCATACATACAGCCTGCATTACATTGAAAAAAATCTAACCAGCCTTTCCAACAAACACCTGTTCCAATCTCTAGTATTCACTGCTCTTAGGTTGACTTTTTAAACCTTCTACATTTGAGACAGAACATGCAGTTGTGGGTTATTTTCCTTAACATAATGTTCTCTACTTCCATCTATTTTGCTGCAAATAACAGAGTTTATTCTTCTTTATGGTTGAATAATATATATTATTATATAATATATACCATGTAAAAATATAATATATAGTAATATAATACAATATATATTTATATAAAATATATATTATTCAGTCAAAGAATTATACATCATAATTTATGTTATATAGATATATATTTATATATTATATATGTATATCATATTTTCTTTATTCATTCGTCTAGGATTCCATGTCTTAGTATTGTGACTAATGCCACAATAAATATGGGTGTGCAGGCTTTTCTTTTGTATGCTGATTTCATTTTCCTTTGGATGAATACCCAGAAGTGGAATCGCTGGGTCATATGGTAGATCTGTTTTTAGTTTTCTGAGAAGCCTCCAATGTGTTCTCCATCATGGCTGTACTAATTTACATCTCCGCCAACTCTTGAGCGCCCTCCACAGTTGGTTAGGTGCTTGAAGTCCTTGCTCCAGCTCTATGAGAGGCTGAACTCAGCCTCATGCCTGGCTCCCTGGCAGTGCATTAGGGAGAAGGAGGTTCCTGTGGCAGCGGGATCCCTGCCTTCTAGCTAGGGGCTGAGGTAAGATCTGGCAGGTGGAAAGCACTTCATAGACGGCTGCATGATTAAATACCGAATTATGAATAACGAAAGCAGTGACTCAGTGAGAAAGTGGTTTGAGAGACTGGGTAGACACAAACCAAACAGAAGATGCCACAGGACCAGAGCTTGTGTCTGGGACAATAAAAGCCACTGAAACTTGGGGGAGAGATTTGGCTAACATGCTCTACTCAGTGGTTAAAAATTTGTTTTAGTTTAGCTATGTATTATATAGATATATGCAATTAATCCATTGCATGTTTATATATAAATATTATATATGTCTACAAAATTTATTTGTTTTCTCCCCCAAGAGTTAAAATCAATAAGTAACATATTATGCTTACCGTAACTGTCATTTGCTAGGTGCATAAGGTTTAAATTTCCCTCCCTTCTTCCTCTTGAGTTTGCAGCTACTAGGGCAGTGTACATCCTCCTTTCCCCATCGCTCCACCTTGCTTTTTGTTAGTCATATGTGAGGCTTCATCCTCTCAGACTGTGGTACTTAGCTTCTGTCTCTGGCTGACCAGAAGAAAGGGGAGGAAGAAAGGACACAATATCTTGAGACAGTTGTCTTAATCACACAATAATCAATTTCTTTCTCCCTCAATGCTTATCCCTCCATTTTTTTAATCTCTGCAGCCTGCTCACCTGACATGGGAACATGTTTAAACCTAAAGTACCCAAGAAAATGATAGTTTGGATCTCAAGTGTCCCCCTGACACTCATACATTAAAGGCTTAGACCCAGATGGTGGTGCTATTTGGAGCCAGAGGGAAGTTTCAGGGGTGAGAACCAGATGAAGCAAGTTAGATCCTTAAAAGATGCATTGGACCTCCCTGCTTGCTTCCTGGCTACAGTGCAGTGAGCAGTTTTGCTCCACCATGGGCTTCCCACCATGATGATCTTCGTTGCCACAGCCCAGACAGTGGAGCCAGGTGACCGTGGACTGAACTTCTGGAATCAGGAGCCAAAAGTAACTTTTTATCCCTATCAGTTTACTGCAGGTACTTTGATACAATAACAGAAAGCTGATTAACACAGAAGCGCTAGGCTGCAAGTCTGCTAGGGATCGAGTTTCTAGATGGAATGCAAGGTGAAAGAGCAGTTGTATGCTAAGAAGTCATACTTTTTTAACCTCTTGACCTTCTAACCTAAGTGTTCTTAGATTCTTCTTGTGAAAAATTAGTCTTGGTGGCACTGTGTCTGATTTTAATGGGGAGCTATGCTGATGCAGCCACTCTGAAAGTCACTCGCTAAATTGCTAAACAAGCTTAAGAGTTTGATTATTCTTTGACCACAAAGTAATTCTAATTCTGTGGATTTACCCGACAAAAATAAATCTTAGAGATATGGGTCAGGTCTAGGAGTCATACTTTTTCTGTCTGAACAGTTTGTTTAACAGTGGTGGTGAACCTGTGGCATGCAGCCAACTGTTTATTATCATCGAAAGCTCTAAAAGGTTCGCCACCACTGGCCTTGATGACCTGCTTTCACAGCTTTCAGTGACATTCTTATGTGCTGAGGAACTGCAGGCTTACATTTCCAGCTTTGGCATGCACCCATCACTGGATTTGTCATCTCTCTTGAACTATAACAGGGGCTGCGAACTAAACATGGTTAAAATAATACAGTATTCTTGATTTCCCTTGGAAAACCTACTCCTCCCCCGTTCAGATATGGGCAATAAAATCTCTACAAGGAGAGAACAAGGGGTAGTTCATCTCCACATACATAAGAGGAAAAGTCTCTGACAACATGAGATATGCAAAGGTAGTTCTCAATAATTGCTATCTGGAATGTTCGTTAATCCCTACTATATGTTAATGTGTTTCCTAAGGAAAAGCAGAAACAGTAAATATTTGATTCTGTAAGGGAGACTCACCAAGGTATTATTTAGCTTGTACACTTGCATGGGAAAGTTGTCCTGAGATCGGGGTATTATCAGGAGGATCCAAGCAGTCTAGCTGTCTACTGGCCATGAGATGCAATGAAAGGCCCCGCAGTAGGAAGTTCTTTCAAACTCAGAAATGGCAACTGTGAAATGGGAAGAAAGTGTTTAAAATGAAAAAACTAGGGTAGTGGAAGAGGAAAGGAAGGAAAGGAAAAGGGGAAAAATGATTTTAAAAAGGATAAAATGGAAGCAAAGCTTTTTAAATGGGAAAATGAGGAATCACAATATATCCTGCACAGGTACAGTTTCCCTATGATGAATAAGATCTTTATGTATATCTAAAATGTACCAGTAAACTTAATTATATTAAAAAAAGAAATTGCAACCTATCACATCTTGGGATGTATTGGACACTGGAGATACTGGTTTAAACAAATCAGACTTTAAGGACATATCTTGCTACATGGTAAATAATGTGGTTGCAGAAGGTCTAGATGTTACATCTAGCAGTTTCTTCTGGAGGCAGCATTGTAGGTAGCCAAATTCTAATTTTGTAGTCCTTTATTTTATTTTATTTTATTTTATTTTATTTTATTTTATTTTGTTGTCTTTTTTGAGACAGGGTCTTGCTAAGCAGTTCTGGTCTCAAACTCACAATGATCCTCCTGCCTCAGCCTCCAAGTTCTGGGATTACAGGCATGCACCACCATGCCCAGCTTTGAAAATTTTAGAATGAGGAAAATATCAAATATAAAATGGCAAAGGCTAATGATACAAACTGAAAGTGGTCTGATTCATCCACCTTCCACAGTAACCAATAATTGTTGCAGGGATTAGATTTTAACCTAGCGCTCTTCCTGCCTGGTTGGGTCTGAACTGTGCCTTACCTTCTTTTACAGTTGAAATATTTCTCCTCTCAAGTTACAAGACTCCTCTTTAAATATGTTACTACCTGCGTTTGAATAGTTGTTAAATCATATTGATTTAGATTCAAGTTGTTACTTTCCTATAATTTCTCTTTCTCAGCTTTGATCCTTTCAGTCTGAGATCATGGTTTATTTCTCTGAGAACTACCTACCTTACAGGTCTGATGTCTTTGGAACCATGTATTATAGGTAGGCTACTCAAGCTGAAGGGTCTCAGAGTACCAGATGTCTATAGACTTCTGTGAGACTATATGGACTATTTACACACATCCTCATTCTGTGCATATAGACACAGGGACTTGAGCCCTTGGCTGGGCCGTGGTTAGTGTACAGGAGTTTAGTGAAAGATTAATGACCAGAATCAGTACTAAATCCTAAACTAAGGCTTAGACTACTGCCTTTCTTACTCAGGCATATTCATTTATCAAACTCTACTAGGATTTCTAACTCTAGATAGGATTTTCAACTGTAGAGACGCTAAGATTTTTTTCTATTGATGTCATATCAAATCATAGAGACAGCCCAAGCTCAGGTAGGTAGTTGTGAACTCTACCCTCCCTCCATTCAGGTCCGCCTTCAACTGTGACCTCATCACTGATGTCGCCTGAGGCTGGCCTAGGAGAAGAGCAGCTGCCCCCTCTATGGGAGCCAGGTGACTGCAGGGCTCCACTGGGAGGTGGCGTCTGCAGGACGCGGGTGAAAGGGCATCGTTGGACACCTATTGGTCCCTGCACCCAGAGGTGCTCAGTGCCTCATCTAGGATCCTAGACGTCTGTGCCCAACAGTGTCCTCGGGTGGCTCTGCATTCTGTTCTTAAAATGGCACGGGCTAGGGAAGAAGCAGGGGATAGCCAGCTGGTATCTGGTCGGGAGCCACCATCGCGCGTCATCAGAGTGTCTGTCAAGACGCCACAGGATTGCCAGGAATTTTTGCTAGCTGAAAATAGCAGTGTCCGCCACTTTAAGAAACAGATCTCCAAACGCCTTCACTGTGACACTGACAGACTGGTGCTCATCTTCACTGGAAAGATCCTCCGGGATCAAGACATACTAAGCCAGCGTGGCATCCATGATGGTGCCACAGTGCACTTGGTGGTAAGGACTCGTTTGAAAGCATTAGCCAGTTCTGCTACTCTGCCGAATGCCTCAGACCACTGCACCCATCGTTCTGAGCCATCAGCCTCTGAGGCTGCTGGGATGCTAGCTAGGCTGGGCCGGCTGGCCCGGACCTCACCTGAGCTCGCTGACCTCTTTGGCCAACTGGCACAACTCCTGATGACTGCCCCAGAGTCTGTGGTGCAGTTCTTGGAAGACCCTCTAATTCAAGGACTAGCAAGTGAGAAACCAGCCATTGCTAGCCACGTTCCTGAGCCCTCAAGGCCAGCACAGAAACATGACTTGGCTCTCAGGACTCTGGAAACCTTGCAGAAGCCAGCCCGGCACCAGGAGCTCTTGGAAGCAAGCAAGCAGAGGCTGGAGGCCTTGAAGGCAGTGCCGTGTGGGGACAATGCTATGCGTCCAGTCTCCTCGGATATCCAACAGCTCATGCTTTCTACTCTGGCCTTATTGATTGCCTCCAAAGACTACATCTCAGGTTCAGATTCTTGCAGAGGGGAAGCCAATGTGCCCAGCTATCCTGATACGACCACCACTTCTGCACCTGCCAGACCAGTGGTACAAGAGGTCAGTGTGGGAGCATTTACACAGGGCAGGGGCATGACCTCAAATCAGGCCAGTTTGGGATGTAAGAGTGGTGTGCCAGTCTTACACTCAGGCCAAGATCTTCCCTCCCAGGATAGTCAGCAACCTGTAGAGAAAGCCTCTCTGACAAATCAGCTAAGACCTTTACCTTCTCTTTTGTGCCAAGCCTTGCATGTCCTACAGCAGAATCCAACTCTGCTACACCAGCTGAGTAGCAGCCCCCTGCGGCATCATATACCACTACTTTCCATCCTGACAAATCCACGAGCACTTCAGGCATTGATACAGATAGAACAGGGTCTACAGATACTGTCCAGGGAGGTACCTGGTCTGAGACCATTCTTACAGGACTCAGCTAGACCACGTGGAGCCAGAAGAGTTCCAGAATCTAGGGCTGGAAGACAAGGGCATAGAGAAGACCCTGTGCACTCCACCCTGGCTATTCTTCAGTTTCTCCATGAACTGGCCAGCGCTTGTTCCCAGTCTACCCAATCACCATTATTCTCATCCTTCCTCACAGAAAGTCGCTACCAGCAAGAACTTGAGCAGCTGAAGGCCCTGGGTTTTGCCAATCGCAGTGCCAACCTGCAGGCCCTGATAGCCACAAATGGAGACATCCATGCTGCCATTGAGAGGCTGCTGGGGGAGCCACAGGCCTAGGTCCCCTCAACAGATGCTTACAGTGCACCACCAGGGAGGGGAGGGGGAAAGAAGTCACTTATTTTAGGGAATCCTCTTACTCAAGTCATGAGTATGTTTGGGCAGCCCCTCCCCCACTGCCCCAGCCTGTTCCACATTAAAAAAGATTGCTTGGATCTCGTGTGTGATGTAAATTCAGTTGGCTGGCAAATAGAATATTACCTGGAAAGGGACTGATGTTACATGATTTTGGGAGCTTGCTTCATCTCATTCCTAGAACCTCAGAGTCTTCTTAAATTTTAAAAAATGAGATGGAAAAAAAATGAGGGTTTTTTTCCTTCCTTCCTTCCTTCCTTGCTTCCTTCCTTCCTCCCTTCCTTCCCTCCCTCCTTCCTTCCTTCCTTCCATTAGAGGCAATGTTTCACCATCCTCTGCAGTTAATTACCTCAGAAGAGTGGAGAGGCTTTCTCAAAACTTTCTCATGCCTCATCTTCCAAAATTTTTATATGGAATCTCACCTACTGACTCCTGCTTTCTGAAGATGCTTCCCTTGTTTTACTTTTTATATATTCCCAACTCTTTATTCCGCTCTCGGAGGATCTGGTGGTTTTTCACAGCAGAAGCCCCAGCTCTGACTTCTATACCCAGAGTTCTCAAATCTCTTAGTCTAATACTTGTATTGTGTCCACTGGCCTTTTCTTTGCAAATCTTTTGCTCAGCATTTCTAAATACGTTTCAGAATTTTTCTCCTGGCTCAATTCTACTCAGAGTTGCATGTTTCTTACAACTTGGTGAAAGTCATCAATAAAAAAATTGATTTCTCTGTCCACCTGACCACTTCTACTGTGAACTTCCGGTCTTCTAGGCAGGTGAGCATGCTTCAGAGTACAAGTGTGGCTTAATGCAGCCATGTAGTGGGATAAAGGCTGATGAAACAATCAGGCCGGAGGAGCACATTGGAGAAGTTCCATAAGGGGAAACAATTATACCATCAGAGACAGCCTTGGGAGTTAGTGACATTTGGGTGATGAACAGCTGAATCTCATGCTTCCTTGGGCCTAGGGAGGATGAATACCACTGAGGCAGACACTGAAACTCCGTGGTGCTCCATGAACTTAGAGACCCGAGGTTGTGCAGCTTAGGGACTGTAGATCAAATATCTCTATGGCCTCACTTCACAGAAATGAGCCTGGTACAGCTCACTCTTTATTTTCCTCTAGCATTAAGATGTTGGTCAGAATTTCTGAGATCAGTTGCCCATGTTTGGTCCCAGGGAGGAGTGACAGTCCGTGGGGTGGAGTGAAGAGGATGAATGTGAAGTATTCTGGGACTCTAGAAGTAGATTTCCATGTCCCTAGAGCAAGGTAGAAGACATTATCAGTGGGTTTTATTTTGTTTGGTCTTAGTGGTGATGGAACACAGGGCTTTCTCTCTGACCTCCTTCTTCATCCCTTGCCCTTTAAATGACTATTTTTTAAAATTTTGAGACAGTGACAAAGTTGCTGCATTGCCGGGGCTATACTGAAATGTGTGAATCTTCTGCATCAGAGTCCACAGAGATTTCCTAACCTGCTAGTCAGTTTTCACTCAAGTCACAGACAATTAACAAGCATGCTTTGGTTGGCACTTGGACACTGCTGAGAAGAACCACCCTGAGTTATATCCACAGGATGTCAGCACAGGGTCCAGGATGTACCCAGATCCCGCAAGACATTAGAAACTGTGTGGTCCCTATATTCCTGATTATCTGTCTAGCAGGACTAGCAGTGGTGAGGAGCTGCTGAAAAAGCCGGAATTGTAGAAGAGAGTTGATCTATGCTAAAACCAGTCCGTTCAGCAGTATCACCACTGGAGTAGGATCTAGGAAAGGGAGAAGGATGTTGGGAAGAATGGGTGGGCTGAATCCCACAATACCCACATGCGCATGCATCAAGCTGTATTATTACACACTATAAGAAAAGGTCACTGGGACCTACAATAGTATCATAAAGAAGAACTTAGATAGCATGGAGCATATAAAATAGGCCCACTGGAAGTTACTATACTGTAGAAACTGTGATAGCCATAGGCATAAATTAATAATATTAAAGGTAGAGGCACAGAGATTAAATCATTTGCACTTAGTAGTAGATACATCAGTTGCAGTTGCAGTAGATATGTCAATAATGAAGCTGTGCTCTGCTTACTTTTTTCCTGGAAGGAGGAGCACTGCAGCCCCAGAGGACTGTGGTAGCCTGGGAGGGACCAGGTTCAGTATGTTTGGGAGGCAGGCTGGGTAAGATTAGAGCATACAGTACCTTCCATCCCTTGTAATCTTGAAGTAAATAAGACCTTCCTCATCCTTCTTCCTTCTGCGTAGGAACTCTTTTCTTCCCATTGAAATTTTAGAAGTGTTTCTCTACACTAACTAACTAGCTCCTTCTGCTTCTGGATTTGCCTTCCTTTTCCATGGAATCACGCTTGCTAAAGTCAGCAGTTGTTTCTTCATTGACAAATCCTATATATCTGTTTTCACTTTCTAATATACACTGCATTCCCTGAGTAATCTCATATTATTTTTTTCTCTGGCTTAGCAGAATGATAACACCTCCTGTATTAGTCACTTTCTCATTGCTAGGACAAAATACCTGACATTCATAACTGAAAATAGGGGAAGTTTATTTTGGCACATGGTATCAGTGGGCACAGTCCATGACTGCCTGCTATCAAAGGAGAAACGGCATGGTGGGAAGATATGGTAGAAGAAAACCACTCACCCCCAGCAGCCGGGAAGCAATGAAAGAAGGGAAATCCAGGGTCAAGAACACACCCTTCTAGGTCATACCCCAGTGGCCTGTCTCTTCCAACCAAGCCCTACCTATGAACACATGAGAATTTGGGGGAACATTTGAGATCTAACTCATAACACCTCCTTTCCTATTCTTATATTTGCCTGAAGACTTTATTTCTGATGTCGGTAAGAAAGAATTGAGAAAAAATTATTGAGATAGAACATCTACTAGTTTCTGTCTATTCATACATATTTACCCACTTATGTACTTCTGTGTAATATGTTCCACCTTTTTTTCTCTTGCTATGGCTAAATCATGTTCGTCCTCAATTTAGTGCTTCCACTAAAATACTTGATTCCTAACTTTCCCCTCCCTCTCTTTCTGGCTCCACATTTCCTTTTTTAGTGGTTTATTCTCTGATATATCACAAAAAAACCACACTAACGTACAGGAAAGAAACTCATCCCTCTATCTACCATTATATTCTTTTTTTTTCATCTCTCTTGGAAAAGTAGGTCCTCAAAGGAGTTGTTCATATTGACATCACTTTCCTTGTTCTCTTTCTAGATTTACTATAAATAAGCCTTTGCATATTACTTCAAAGTTGGCCTCCTTTTTTGTCAGCTAGTTTAAGAGCTCTGTTGCTGAATCCTGTCATCATTCCTCAGCGATCATCCAACTAGCCACAGTCATATTTGAGTGACTTTTGTGTATGGCAGTAGATCACATATTTACCTTGCGACACATTCTCTTGTATTTTTGGACTTATAGTTCCATCATAATACTTCTTGCAGAGAGGTTTTCTTGTTTCTTCTGTTGGTTATTTCTCATTTCCCTAACATCTTTTGTTTTTGTTCTTTTTTTTTTTTCCATTACCGGGAATTGAACTCACGACCTTGTGCTTGCCAGGCAGGCGCTGTGCTGCTGAACTAAACCCCCAGTCCCTTTCCCTAACATCTTAACTTTGGAGTCCTTGTTTACTTATTTTCGCTTCTTTAGGGTTTTCACCGAGTTGCTTGGCTTTAAGTACCATGTACCATCAGAATCCCAGATGTGTACAGCAAACCTCTGAGATTTCTCTAGGACACATTAGAGATAGCGAACTCATTACTTTCTCTCATAAATTTATCCTCTTTTCCATTTTTTGGTTTTATCTCCCCCTCAGTGGAAAATAAACATAGAGAATGATATGTTCACCTCTTTAATTAGTCTGATCAAAATCCTTGCAAGTACCTTTGACTTCTTTTTCTCCCTGCTAAGAGTCAGTATATTATAAAACCCCATGGATGCTTCAAAATATACTCAGCATTTAACTGATTTTTACCATTTCTATTACTCTGCCAAAACCACTATTTTCAAATTAAATAATAAACTGATTCTCTGAAGATAAGTTCAATTAGAATATCAGAGCATTGTACAGGAATGCATATGTTGTAGTGAACAACCATGGGTATATTCAGGGATACAGAGGAAGACAAATGCTTTTAAAGGTAAAAGAAGGAGGGCTCACTAAGTTGTTTCCAGCCAAAGGAAACATTTGCTCTAGGGGCTGATCTCAAAAGCTGACATAAATTCATTAGAGTCTGTCAGGCCAGTGTCCTTGGGCATCTAGGTTTTGCCTTGTGAGTCATGTACTAAGCTGCATTTTGAAAAGTTCTTGCTTTGCAGACAAGCATGTGTGCATATGAGCCCTTTGGGGAATTTGTAATAGACCTTATCGTGGGTGTGTGTGCAGAGTTCTTTCCCTTCTTACATCTGGATTCTATATTATTTGGGTTTGACACACACGACATCATACTGATATTAACACCTTCCACCAGTACCACTGCGACGGCACTCCAGATAGTGCCGCTATCTTTCCCTTCATCTTTCTGTATATACTCAGCATAGCAGCTACATTAGCCCCTTTTAACAGTAAGAGACATGACATAAGGCTGTAAAGGTGAAGAAGCAAGCAGAGAGAAGGTCTATAATTTTCCAGCATTGCACACTTTGTGATTGACAGAGACACAGGCATCCAAACTCTCGGATTCCGGAGTCTGTGCTGTTAACTTTATGCTGCTTCTCAGCTAGCATGAGTTTCTCTGAATTAGTGATCAGAAAGTGTATCCTGCCTGGAGCAGGTAGAGAAGAAAGAGCAAATTACTTCCAGCTCTTCAGAAGTTTCAGGTTTCATACAGAGAGGAGAACCTCAGAGAGTAATCCAGATCACAGTGAAGACGTTATCTATGTGTTTGTAATAGAGCGAACTGAATTTCTCCCTGCTGCTGAGAATCACTGTTACTGTGTGAAAACAAAACAAAATAATGTCACTGTGGGGTGGAAGGAAGAGAGATAATAGTGGGAATTTCCTCTGGGATCAGAGAAAAGAATTTGTTTTTCATTTCAAATTGTACATACATAAG